TCTCGCCCGACGTCTTGATGTCGTTGCAGCGGTCGCGGTGAACAGCGAAGTTGGTCTCGAAGCCCTCGTGCTTCTTCAGCAGACCCTAACACGTGCGCGCAAAAACCTCGTGTTAAACCCCCACGCGCACACGCAACAGCATTGCGAGCAAACGATCATCGAGAGTTCATGAAACCATTAAAAAAAGATTTCTAGTGAATTGTGGACCACGAATTTTGCATTCAGTACAAATTTAACTGAAAATATGCATTAAACATAGTGTAATAATTTTTTGGAAAGCCACAGACAGGGAGGCATTGGGTGTAACAACGATTGTAAATGTATAGACATTGTCGTGTAGAATGCAGAATTTTTGTTTACATTACCTAAACCTTGCACACTGGTTATATATAGAGCATAAACGTTATCGGCAAACGTAGCAATTCGAAATTAATAAACAATTGATTATAACATAAATTAAGTAATTACGATAAACGCCTCCGACTGTTATGATAATACTTGGCTAACTGGCTAATGGCACCCACCCGTCAATAGAATACCTTATCATGTGCATGAGATGGTAGTATATTTCGAGAGTTACCCACTAATGATCGCATTCCGGAATGCACCATCAGAATCATATCATGTATCATCACAACACATCAGATTTAGATGTCCGGTTGTTTTTAGTCATCATCGTGCATTCCGCTGCGACCCCCCCTCCCACGGTTCCCACGTGGGAAGCCGCCCATTGTTCTACACCGACAAGATCTAGTGTTGTCAATCGGTTATAATTTTGTCATCGATCATCGGTTGGACCCAAGTAACTCCAAGTAACCGATGATCGGTTACAATCGGTTACTCGGGGTGTTGAATGCCTGCGTGTGCGTAACGTCGTGTGCATGTACGTGTGTGCATGTATGTTTTTGTTTAGCCCTGCTTACTGTTTGTTTTGCACTGTTTACTACTGTGTGTATAATACATGTATGTTAATAAAGGATAACTTGTATAGTAGCGATGATATCTCTGATTCTCATCACTTTTCCAAGTTTTACATGTATTTCGATTTTTTTTCCCCCGATGAAATCGATTATGGATTTTGATAACCAAGCGCTTGGTTCGAGCCACTGTTCAACCGATGATCGAGTATAATCAATGATCGTGACATCACTACCAACAACCTTGCATTTTTTCGCGGCACACCTCGCCTGCGTTTCGACGCACCTGCACAGCGGCCATCGTGTCTCCGTAGTCTTCGGACGACATCAGCTGAGACTTCTCGCTGATCCAGGCCTCCTCCTCCTCCACGTTGGCCACAAACTGCTGGTAGGTGAGCGACTCGTCCAGCTTCTGGCCCCTGCAGAGCACAGACGACAACATGAAAGTAAAATCTCTCCAGAGACGCGCTGCATTCTTTCACACACGCGCCTATACGCAGTGCATGCGGGTCATTCCTTTACGCTATAACGATTCTCCCTACCACTATACACTATACACCCTGACAGACAGAACCGGGAGAACTTTCTCCCGTTCACAGTCCTAGGTTAGCCACAGCACGTGAAAGTAGTAATGCTCGTCGCGGAAAGCCGGAAATACGTTACCGGCGACCCCCTCGGCGCTGGAAGGTCGTACCTATGTGAGGACATGCTGCGTAGCTGTGACCAGCTGTCGCCGAGCTGGCCGCAGCGGTTCTGAATCTCCTCGGTGCCCAGTGTCGATTCCTCCATCAGCATGCGGCCCGCGTCCTGCACCGCCTGCAACACACACGGCCACCGATCACTCAGAGCAGTGCAAAACGCACGTCGCCGCCACATCGTCTAGCTCTTATATCGCTCGCTCTACCAAAAATATGTCTACCTCATTCTCTTCTAACGATGTCTCTCGGTAATCAAAACTACGATCGACTCCGACCAAAGACCTAGAATAAAATTGTCGACACGCAAGATGTTCTACGACCGTGCGCGCGAGTAATTTTGCCACGCCTGGGTGTTCTCGGCTGGTTACCTGGATAACGCGGGTGTCGGACGCGTACCTGGATGGCCGGCTCGTGGCTGGACAGCTCCGCCTCGAAGCGCTTGTGCTTCTTGCGCAGGTTCTGCACGCTGTTGAGGTCGCGGCCGTAGTCGTCCGAGCTGACGAGCAGCTTCTTCTCGCGGATCCACGACTCCTCGTCGTCGAGGTCGCGGAAGAACTGGTGCAGCGTGTGCGCCTCGTTCAGCCGGTCGCGCCGGCCCGTCGCCAGCCCGCGGATGTGCTCGAAGCGCGTGTTGATCGAGTTCTTGCGCTCGAGGATCGCGTCGGCGTCAAACTGCTCGCTGTCGGCGAGCTCGTCTGCCTGCTTGTTCATCTCGTTCATGCGGTCCTGCAACACGGGCGCGTACGCAGACGCATGTATATCTAATATAGCACTATTGCACACATACAAACACACACACGGACGCATGTCTACTGCTGCTCATATAGCACTATTGCACGTGCTATTAACACATACAAACACACACACGGACGTACGTAAGTCACTGCTGGCTCATATAGCACTATTGCACACATACAAACACACATCAACGGACGCATGTCTACTGCTGGCTCATCCATAGGCACTATGCAGCACATACAAACACCACACATGGACCGTATGTCTACTGCGCTCTCATATAGGCACTAATGCAGGCACATACAACACACACACACAGACGTATGTCCTACGCTCGCTCAATATAGAACTTATTGCACACACACTGACGTATGTACACTGCTGCTTATATAGCACTATTGCACCACAATACAAACACACACATGGACGTAATGTCTATCTGCCTGCCTCAATCATAGCACTAAAATATCGCAGGCATCACATACAAACACACAGCACAGACGTATGTCCCTACGCTCTGCTCCAATATAGCAACTATTGCAGCCACCATACAGACACACACGACCAGGACCGGGCATGTTACTGCTGCTCATATACGCACTAGTTGCCACACAATAACAAACAGCACACACGGACGTTGTCTACTGCTGCTCATATAAGCACTATTGCACACATACGACTAACACAACACCACGGACGCATGTCTAGCTGCTCGCTCATATAGCACCCTAATGCACACATACAACAACACATCACCCACCGCGCCAGACGTATGTCTACTGCTGCCTCATTAAGAACTATGCAACACACACGGACGTATGTCTACTGGCTGCTTATATACGGCACTGATTGCACACATAACCAAACACACACGACAACTGACGTATTCTACTGCTGCTATATAGCACTATTGGCACACATACACAACACCAGACGTAATGTTATCTGCTGCTCAACTATAGCATCTATTGCACCACATACAAACACACACATGGACGTATGTCTACTGCTGCTCATATAGAACTAGTTGCACCACGACTGACGGAACGTATGTCTAGCTGCTGCTCAATATAGAACTATTGGCACACACACGGACATATGACTAGTACAGCTCTGA